TTCAAGTTTAAATATTGTAAAAGAGTGGCTAATTGTTGTGTGAGTTGATTAGGATTATTATTATTATTATTATTATTTTGTGATTGATTGTTATTATTTTGAACAGGGTTTGAACGATTGTTGTTTCTGGGTTGATTATTTCTAGGTTGTTTATTATTATTTGTTGAAGGGTTATTTTGTTAGTTGTTATTATTTTTTGGATTAGGACAATCTTAGGCAATATGTCTAGGTTAGAAACAATTAAAGCAAACAAGTCCTCTTTGATTGTTGTTGTTATTGCTATTATTATTGTTTTGGTTGTTTCTTCTAGGATGGTTGTTGTTTTCTAATTTCTTTTCAATTTTCTTTTCAAGATTTTCCATACATTTAGTGAGAGCTTTCATTATAATTTCAACAGAATTAGAAGATGTAGGAGTTGGAGTAACAATATTGTTGTTAAGATTAGAAGTAATATACATTGCAGCACCATAACAAATAAGTTTACAAGTTTTTGCTCTATTAACTACTCCATCCCAAGTATTTTCACCAAATGGACATACTGCTATTTGTAATTCTGTTCTTAAACCAGTAGTAAATTTACAGACTTTTTTTATTTCTGGATAAACATTGGCATTTGTTTCTAAACGATGATATAATTCATATAGATACATAGCATATTGGTCTACAGTTTTAGTTGGTTCTTGTACACAGTGAATTAGTTCAATAGCCCAAATGTCAATAAAAACAGGAGTTCAGAATTAGGTAAGAAATCGAGGTTTAAAACTATCAGCTTGATTTTGTGTATCCCAGTATCCAAAAGCTTGTTGTTGATTTGCGTTAGTATACCAAATTGCTGCTTCATTTTTAAGATAGTGTTACAAAAAATTTCTTCGAAATTTTCCTTACTGTATTTTTTTTTTGTATAGTTCGTCTTTTCTATATATAAAAGCAGTAGATTATGTGAATGCGATGGAATTAGCATATATATAGGTTCGAAACCTGAGGTTAGGGTTTGAAACACTGGGTCTGGGTGTAAAACTCCAGATCTGGGTCTGAAACCCTAGATCTGAATTCAAAACCCCAGATCCGGGTTTGAAACCTTTAACCATCAAAATGTATAAATAGGACACTTGCTTAATAAATAAAGTAACTCTTTCTTACTCTGCTCAAGTAATAATTACAGAGGATACATGACCTAGTTCTTTCTTATTTTTGTACCCCTATAATAAATAATACACACTGATCTTGTCTATTAAGTAACACATAGTAAACTGCGATAACCTAACTCGAACCTAAACGTAACCTGTGGTAACCTAACTCGAACCTAAACGTAACCTGTGGTAACCTAACTCGAACCTAAATGAAACCTGCGGTAACCTAACTTGAATCTAAGCGTAACCTGTGGTGACCTAACTTGGACCTAAGCATAATGTGTGACAACCTCTTTCCGAATATAGTCCTATTAATCAATAATTATTGCTATATACGAATCTGGGTTGTGCTACTTACCATCAAGATTTATGCTTACGGTGCTGGACTAAATTGGCTTGGATATATAAAAGCTCTCTCTAGTCGTAACATTTTGGTGCTAATTGTATGGTCAAACAATAGAAGGTGTTGATAATCTTGTGGACGAACAATAGAAGGCAATGATAATCTTGTAGACGAACAAAAGAAGGTGTCGATATTCTTGTGGACAAGTAGTTGGTAAAATTAATTGTATGCTGAAGGGTGTGGATAAATATCGAGTATAAGCGAACATCGATAATACTATATGAACGAGCATTGATAATATTGTATGAACTGAGCATTGATAATTATTGTAAACAAGCGTTGATAATTGTTGTGTTTACAACATGGGTAATACTATGTGAGCGAGCATTGATAAGTTTGTATGGATAACGTTGAGGATAAAACATTTCAAAAATAAGTGTGAACGAACACTACAACAGTAAAAAGACAAACGTGTATACAGCAATAGTGTGAAAAAGTGTGGATACAATAGTGGAAACAATCATTAATATAATAATAAAAACAAGCATTAGTATAATAGTATAAGAGTATAATCAGTATAAAATGTGAAGAAACACCTTTAACGATACGAACCTCAGAAACAAATATCACGATTATGAACCAAGGAATAATAAAAACTCACCTAGTAACAGTGATTCTCTTCGAAATGAATATCTTTTGGATAGCCTGAACCCCCTAATGAATCTCGATCAGCAAGATGTCCCTAATCAACAAACAATCTGTTATTGC